AACGTAAAGAAAAGTAAAGTAATGTTAAGATATTGACACTTGGGTTAAGTCGTTCCTGTCTTGTTGATTGTGAGTAGGTTATGCCGAGGTCACATTTCCAAACCAGTGCCCGGCCGGGCAGTCTAATGGAACGAAAAAATACAGCATAAGAGACAACAGAGCAAAAAAAAGGGAAAAAATCAATAATTGAATTATTTGCGTACTATTCTTGATAAAAACTGTTTATTTTTTTGTTAATCGAAACAGCCCGGCCAGGCCGTAGTTTGGAAATGTTACCTCAGCAATAGAGCCGGGTAATTAGGCTACTTATCTTAATTACCTTAAGATACCTCATTAAGATACTTATCTTAATTACATGGCGGTAAGTAATTAGAAACAACAACTGGTGCACCGGTGATGGATGAGTAGTTTCTTGACAAGTTAAGTGGCCGTACATTGACCCATAGGCATTTTAGGTGTTTCGGAACGTTTAATGCATCCAATGCAACCACAGGGCCAGCCCCACAATGGAAAAAAAAGTATTATGAAAGGGGAAATCTATCAAATATTGACATTTACTGCCATTTCTTAGCACATTTTTTTTGTTATCACTGCAGACATAAAACGTTTAAAGCTTAGGTCACATTTGAAACGGCGCCCGTTCGGTATGTCTTCGGTGTAGACGCAGGCTGGCGTCATGACGCTGAGCGTGCGCCGACTGTCAGGGTCACAATTAAATGTTCCTTTACGGCTCCCTGTCGGGGCCTGGTTGTGCTGCGGCCGGCGTTGAGGCGTCTTCTAATTAATATTCATAAACCTTTGGTCTCCTTGGTGGCCGGTTTCTGTTAAGGACCCGTCCGGTGCCCGGTCAGTCTCCCGTCTTGACCCGTGCGGCGTGTGGTAGGGTGCCGACCGGTTCTTACAGTTCGGCCGGGCAGCTTTCAGGTCCCTGAATGGGTCCAGGGGAGATCCTGGCGCGTCCCTGGCGGATCCCGGTGGGCTCTTGTCGTGTTTTTGAGCCGTTATATATATATATAACCAATCACCAATTTAGCGGGGCGCGCATCCAGGCACGCGGGGTTCTTCGCGCTCACTTCCCGATCGTATGCGCCATACCTGCCCGGTATCAGTGAGCCCTAGTGCGTACCAGTGAGCCCAGTGCGTGTCAGTGGCATGGAATGTAAAATATCACACGAACACCCGTCACGAAATCGCCAGGACACGTAACCAAAGTTTCGGGGCCCTGTGAGCTCACAACCCGATCGTGATAACCTTTTTTGGGGGGGGGGGCTAAAACCATTTTCCCTGTAAAAGTCCAAGGAATACAACCGAACATTAACAAAAAAAAACGCGTGTATGATAGAATACTAAGGTAAGGCTTGGCACACCAAATTTTTCAATAGGCTAGAAGTTACGGTTTAGTCGTATAGACCAAGTTCTTCCGCTTATAATGTTTTTCCGTTTGTCGATACGACAAAGTTGACATTTTCTGCAATTTTTAAAATTAACAAGTTTGATCCAAAAAGCCCGGTCTGAATAGGGTTACAGTTGAATAAATCCTATCCCAAGGCATACTTATATATATATGAGGCAAGAATGATCGTCGCTGACGTAAAAATATTTCTTGTTTCGTAGCGTGTGTACTATATGGTGGGCTGGATCTAGAGATCTATGGGTGGTGCAACACTTGCACCTTGTTTGAGGGTTTTTTAAACGTTTAAGTCCGTAGTGATGCAAAAAATGTGCTAGGAAATGGCGGTAATTGTCAATATTTGATAGATTTTCCATTCAGAATAATTTTTTCTTTCCATTGGCATTGTGGACCCTGCAGTTGCATTGGATGCATTAAACGTTCCGAAACACCTAAAATGCCTATGGGTCAATGTAAGGCCACTTAACTTGTCAAGAAACTACTCATCAATCACCAGTTGTTGTTTCTATTTACTTACCGCTATGTAATTAAGCTAAATAACTAATAGATCACCCGACGACCACATAATATGCATATTGAGCTAACGTTTGTTGCAAGGTGGTCTTATATTTAGGGTTGGTGGCTCTGAATCCGGTAATTCTGGGTTCGAAACCCTGGAGGGCTCCTATATAACCTCAGTCATGAGTCAAAAAGGCACTGCATCAGTGCTGCTAAAACTCCACACTTCCAAATCACATCTCATCGATGGACACTAGCGACAGTTGTTCACAACAAAGTACTGGGTGTCACAATACAGAGTACTGGTAGACATCTCATCATGATGTTGTGACCATTCATGCTATCTACGGGTGATTATGAGAGCATGATTACCTTCGCCAAGACGGTTATGTTTTCAGAGGCGTTCGTGTATGTGTGTGTCCTTCCGTCCGTCCTTCACGGAACATGATAACTTGAGAAGGCTTACATGGATTGTCTTCATACTTGGTAGGCTGGTAGGTCTTGATGACACCTGGAAATGATTAGATTATGGATCCCTTAGCGGCTTGTTATGGTAATGCAGCTGAAATTCCGGTTTGGATATCTCATGATCTAGACATGCTAGGGTGACGAAATTTAGATGGTAGGTAGCTCTTTTGCTGGGAAAGAAGTGACGTGAGTTTGGGCCCCCTAGCGGCTTGCTCAGGAACTGCAGGGCTGACTGCATGATCACTAGCCTGAGTGTCAGCCTTTTTAGCCTTCGTCCCCTCCCCACTATCCGCTACCGGCATTTCGTGGAGAGCTGACAAAAGCTGAAAGGTCAAGTAGTATCACTGTGCAAAATATGAGTCAAATCTATTTTTTACCCCTGCCACCATTGTTTAATCCTTAGTCCTAGTACAGACATTTGCTCGTAAAATCTGAAAACACAGAAGTCAGCCATGTTTGTTTACATTCGGGTTGTTTGTGGTGGTGTTTAAAGGACACATCCAATACTTTCAGTTTTGGGGCCTTTTCACCCAAAATCCTATTTGTAAATGGTGATTTATTGGTTTCTGCCAACCCCGCACATATCTGCGGTGATATCTGACAGGCTCGATGTTCCCCGACTAGCGCCTAGCGGACAATCGGGCGCTAGCCGGGGAACATCGAGCGTGTCAGATATCACCGCAAATATGTGCGGGGTTGGCAGAAACCAATAAATCACCATTTACAAATAGGATTTTGGGTGGAAA